ATGTGACTGTTTCTGAGAATTTTATTGTAACAAAACTCGAATTCTAAACTCGAATCGGTGAAATGAACAGAATTTTAAATTCATGATTTTAATTTTATAATAATAATTTTTTTTAACACAAAAAATTTGAATTCAAATATTTTTCATAAATAATTTTTATCAACAAATCAAAATCACTATTTGAACAGGTTCTTAATATACATTATTAATAGTGATAGATACATTATTGAATCACAATAAATTCTTAGATTCTCTTCTCCCTTTTGATGTAAATATGATATGATATTGTGGCGGTTAATACTGTGATGACCATATGATCATATATCAAAAGCAAAAAAAAATAATAAAAATAATAAAAATAAAATAATAATAATAACTCACAGCCACTGCCTCCCCTTTAACGTCCTTATTTAACGCTCAAATGACCACTATCCTAAATCCTGATCACCAGACAATTGTCATCTTGGTGCTCCCACGCCTTACTTCTTTTTACTTAAATTTTTAACACGTGCCCATGCACATTTGACGATTGTCGTTCCTGTGTCTTTTCTCTCTCACTTGATGATTGTCGTTTTTGCACCCTTACGACGTCCTTTACATACATTATACATATACTCATCTTAATCGAGTATATCACATAATACTTTATAGATACTCGTCTTTAATCGAGTCCACACCACAAGATATAAAATTGAGAAAATTGTTAGAATTTATCCTTATAAGTCTAGATTTTTATCTTTTATTCTTAATTATTATTCTTGTAATTAATACAATTACTTTTTAAAAATGAGTATTAATGAGAGTGAGAAGTAAAAAATTAGACTCGTACACTTTAAGTGACATTTGTCTCCTTTCTCTTATAAAATTAGAGAAATTTTATTTGCCTGTATATGACTCGTGTGAGAAAATCAGAGCAAGAAATGTATCTCTCTCTTGTGTTGTTTGGTATGGATTTCTAATTCCTTCATAGAAGAGATTAAAATCAAGGTTCTTTAACAAAGTTTTTGAAATCTCTCCCCAAATTCATTACTGACACTTTTCTCTTATCTCACCCCTTCCATTTTTCCCTCCTTTGGTAAGAGAAAAAAGGAACTGAAAAGAGAATCGGAAAAAAAAAAAAAAAAAGAATAGAAAAGGCAATGACATATATTATTGTGCTTAGAATTAAATGTAGTGGAAAATGTATTTAGGGGAATAAATTTGGAGAATTCTGTAGTAGTGTACGTAAAAAAAAAACTTTATTATAAAACGACGTTAACTGGTAATTTTATATATATATATATATTTTGTGTGATTTTAATAAGACTTAACGTTTGAAAAAGTATATTACTAATAGATATTTCGTACCATGGTAAGCTTCAATGAATCATATCTAAATTCTGAATTAAAAGTGAAAATTCTATAGTGGGAGACTTTTTTTCTCCTACTAGTAGAGTGAGTTTTTTTTAGTCAACAAGTAAAATAAATTTAACGGTTGAATTTGTGTGTGGAAATATTTTGGTGTCATGTAATGTATTACTTTAACGTGAACATTCTTAAATCTAACCACTGAATATTTAATCCCATTCCCGCGGTTAAAAAAATTTGTTGGCGGTATTTAGAATTGATTTTATTTTTGTTTCACATTTTTTAAGAAAAAAAAATAAAAATGTTTTTAAAATGACGTTTGACGTAATGAAGATAAAAAATAAAAATAAAAATAATTTTTTAATTTAGTGTAAAATAAAAAAAAATAAAAAACAATTTTTAATTATTTTTTATTTTTTATTTTCATTCGTAAGTTGTATTTTTTTTTTTTTATTTTGGGGTCAAGACAAGAAAGAATGACGGAAGTGAAAATGGTAATTATCCCCCTAAAATATGGTTAATTTGTCACGTGCGCCAACCCCACAGGGCGGCACCGGCTCTCCATTTTCGACTCGCGAGTTCCTAATACCACGTTTACTCAACCACAAAAAAGAATATATATATATATATATATATATATATACACACACACATACATACATATATACAAGTAAAAGTAACAAAAATGTGTTTCCATTAAAAAAGAAAAAAAGTAACAAAAAATGTGTTAAGGAACAGGGGAAGTTGGACGGCCAATTCCTCGTCGCTGCTTTCCGCACCGTGGACCACCCCCACATTCAAAAAATTCTCAACGACCTCGATTGTTGCTCTTTATCTACTCATAATTACCATCCTGCCACTCTACCATATACCAGTTTTTTTTTATTATTTTTTATTATTTTTCCCTCTTAAAGAATATCCATTAAACCTATGCTGGAATAAATGAGGACAAGTATTTTGGAACTCTACTCCATTATTAGAGCAACAAAAATCTACTTCCATTAAAGAAAACAAAAACAAAATAAAAAACTCCAAAGGGCGGTGGGTCCTAAAGTAGCTCACAGGTCTTGCTTGGGGAAGGCAGTTCAATTAACTCAGTTTTATCTATTTTATCAATTTAAATTTTTAATTTTATTACAATTAAAATTTTTTATAAAAAAATAATATTTAAAACTCATTTAGTTTATTAATTTAAAATTTTAATTTAAATTGAGATATAATTTTATATAAAAATAATATGTTATTATTTTTAAAATTTTTTTAATATAATAAAATTTAAATCAGTAAAATAAATTAAATTTTAATTTTTTTTGAACGACCTTCATTTGAAAAAAACTGGTAGGGCTAGTGAGTGGAGCCGTAGGGAAGCCCGAAACAAGTAAAATATAATCGACAGGTTCCTCCGTCACGCGTGACCTAAATTAGTCGTAAAATACTGAACCACTTCCCTCGGAATCCGCACCTAAACAAAAACCCCTCCCTAGACCCACCTCCCTTGATGTCATCCTCCAGCAGTGGGGCCCTCACGGCTCTGAATCCCCCCCCTTCCAATTATGCAACTGGCATGCTTTGCTCCTATATCTATCTATCGGATGAGCAATGTCAGGCGGTAAGCCAACAGTGGCGCTGAGCATAATGTAATAGAAAGAAAGTGAATTCCTAATAAATTAATTTTAAAATTTATATATATATATATATTTTCTGATGTTTAGCATTGGATTTGACGTTGTTAGTATAACTCTACGTATTCAAGTTTTTAATTTGAGTTGAGATATAATATTTTTTTAAGTTTTTTACTGTAGTAAAAAAAAATAAATGTGACATTTTTTGAAAATTTTTTACTGTAAAAACTTTCATTCAGTTCGCTGATTCGAGTTTTTAATTTGAATTAAGATGTGATTTTATGTGAGAGCCTTTTACTGTAGCAAAAAAGTTAGATGTGACTGATTCTGTGAGCTTTTTACTGTAGTAAAACTCAAATTCTAAACTCGAATCGGTGAAATGAACGAGGCCGTAGTTTTCGTTCATTTCATCAATTTAAGTTTAGAATTTAAATTTTATTATACAGTCTCATTTATTTTACTGATTTAAATTTAAAATTTAAATTTTACTATAGTAAAAAATTTTCAGAAACAGTCACATCTAACTTTTTTTTTACAATAAAAAGCTCTCACATTAAGTCACATCTCAACTCGAATTAAAAACTCGAATCAACAAACTAAACGAAAAAACTCTTAAAAATAATCACATCTAACTTTTTTAGTATAATAAAAAATTATCATATAAAATCAAATCTCAATTTAAATCAGTGAATTAAATATGCTCTTAATGTATAATAATTATTAATATAATATGTGATATGACTGTAAATTAATATAGATAATAAATTAATACGATTTATATAGAACACAACTCATTTTGATGTATTGTATTGTGCATTTTATAGAGAGTGCATGGTTTAAGTTGGGATAGGCCGACACAAGACCGGCCGAAACTTATAATTATTTTGAAAATTGATTGGTCAAAAAATATAAATTTTTATATTTTCTAAATCTTACATATTGCCCCCTAAAATATTAAAAAGATATAGTTTGACAATGAATTATTGAAAAATTACAGTTGATGCTAAATTTTTTTATAAAAAATTAAAATTTGACCCTCAAAAATATTTAAAAATATATTATTTGAGCTCACTTTTTTGAAAAATTATATTTTGATCCTTAAATTTTTTAAGATTTACATCTTGACTCTTTACATTATATGTCATCAAACACTTTATTATATTACGATAATAGAATGCAATATAATATAATTAATAATACAAACCGTCAAACATAGTTTTATCGTGTTAAGTAACACATATTAGTAGAAAATGGATTATGATATACAAATTAAAAGAGTCCCCCTTTTATTAGAGGATATTTAGTTTATATATTTAGAATCATGATTTAAAATTATTTTTATTTTATGTATATTTTTTGTAAAAAAATACTATAAAAAATTATGAATCATGATTTAAAATTAAAGACAAATATATAAAATAAACGTATCATAAGTGTGTTGTTTAGCGTGTTTCCAAACGTTTAGGGTTCGTTTAGTTGGAAAATTCAAACCATGTGATTCGAACTATTTTCAATTTACATGTATTTTTTATGAAAAAAAATACTAAAGTAAACTATAAATCATAATTCAAATCAGAAAACGAATCCCTCCACCAAACGCTCCTTATTCGTCGAATGCATCAACAATGATATAACGTTCAATGATATATAATGCATCATTCACCATTGAGGGTTGTAGATTTACATATTATGTGGTCAACCGTATGTAATAGTTTTAAGGGAAGGCCAAATATCAGGCACAAGTCAGAATCAGCTGATGTTATTTATCAGAGCCATCGATATTGGCTCCGGTGATGAGTCGTCTACGCTAAAGCCTATAAGAAAGTACTACGGTGGGAGAAATTTTGAATGTAGACCAGCCACGTCACCTGTCTAGAGAGAACCTTACAGCCTGGCAAGACTTCTTTAATGTAATTAGACAGCAAATTAAATCATTCCACGTGGATCGTCTTTTTAATATTGACACCTCTTCTCCTCTACAGCTGTCCCTCCTCCTCACCCCCGCAAACCGCTATATAAATACCGCTCTCTCTTTTCATAAAATCCCAGTACGAATCTTTAGTCTTTTCTTCTTAAATCTTAAGCTTTGGAGTAAGAGAAATCCACAGGACCAGAAAACCATTTTGGCCAGTGAAAATGGGTTATGTTTACCACTTTGCCATCCTCTCTTCTGTTCTATTACTCTCTTCTCTGCTCGTTGATCCGACAGCTGCGACTGGACGGAAGCTCTCGGCGCTCGTCCAAGAACAGCCGTTGATCCTCAAGTACCACAACGGCGCTCTTTTAAAAGGCAACATCTCCGTCAATCTAATCTGGTACGGCTCCTTCACTCCTATCCAACGGTCCATAATCGTGGACTTCATACAGTCGCTGAGCTCCGGCGGGAAAACGATGGCGCCTTCGGCGGCGTCGTGGTGGAAAACGACGGAGAAGTACAAAGGAGGATCGTCGAAGCTTGTCGTTCGCAAGCAAATCCTTCACGAGGCGTATACTCTCGGCAAGTCGCTCAAGAGCTCGCACCTGGTCGCTCTCGCCGGAAAAGTCAACGATCTGGGGGCGATCAACATGGTGCTGACGGCGAAGGACGTGGCGGTCGATGGCTTCTGTATGAGCCGGTGCGGGACCCACGGCGCGACCCGGGGGTTTAAGGGGAAGGCCAGGCAGGCCTATGTTTGGGTCGGGAACTCCGAGGTCCAGTGCCCTGGCCAATGCGCCTGGCCCTTTCACAAGCCCATTTACGGCCCCCAGACTCCTCCGCTCGTTGCTCCAAACGGCGACGTTGGGGTTGACGGAATGATCATTAACTTAGCCACTCTCTTGGCCGGTACAGTGACGAATCCGTTTAATAACGGCTACTTCCAGGGACCCGCGACGGCGCCGTTAGAGGCCGTCTCTGCCTGCACCGGAGTTTTCGGATCGGGTTCTTATCCGGGTTATCCAGGGCGGACTCTCGTTGATAAAGTGAGCGGTGCGAGCTATAATGCGCACGGGGTGAACGGGCGAAGGTTTCTACTGCCGGCGATGTGGGACCCTCAGACTTCCACGTGCAAGACTCTCGTGTGAGAGAACGGACGAGGGAATGATAATACGGCGTTTCGGGTCTACGTTGCTGACATGTCAGGGGCTGCAATCTGGTTGTACGGTATTGTAGATAAGGGGTATGGTGTACACATTTCTGTGTTTTGTCGTCTTGTGTGACGTGTAAATTGTAATGGGTTAGAGGGAGAAAAAAAAAGGGCAATGGAGGGAATTAATATCCCGAGTCATCATATATATAATATTAATATTTTAATAATATAAAAGGTTTCTATAGAAGTGAAAGTGTTATGAAAAGTTTGTGTGGAGTACAAGAATTTGATGGTATTTTGTTTGCTTTTGGGCGATTGGATGGAGTGGGAAAAGGAAAAGCAAGTTGGATGGTTTTTGGTGGGAGGGTCCTTGAGAGATATGATAAACGCATGACATGTAATATAAAATCTAAAACTAAGCTACGAGATAAAATATGATCCTATAAATGTTAGGGTCACTCCAAATTTTTACTACATCATTTTCTTTTTTAATAATAAAATAGTATGTTAGTGGAGTTTTTAAACTGTAAATGTAAAAAGTGATAAAAAAATGATAGAAAAAGTCGGCTGGCAATTCTTAATATAATGCCAGATGCAGGACACGCATCATCAATGCTTTGGGCCATGAGTGAATGTTTTACAATTGATATATGAATTGGTGGACCAAGTGAATGATTGTCTTTACGCTTGTATTCAACACCTAAATAAGTTTAGTTCAACTTTATCCGTGTTGGGTAAGAGATTAAGGTTCCGTTCTTGATTCGATTTTAGAATTTGAGTTGAGATGTGATTTTATATGAGAGTTTTTTTACTGTAGTAAAAAAGTTAGATGTGATTGTTTGTGAGAGCTTTTTACTGTAGAAAAACTCGAATTCTAAACTCGAATCAGCGAAGTGAACGGGATCTAAGTAGATAGTTCCATCGTCTGTTTATCTTTGTAATGTTTATCTTTGGAAGACCTTTTATGAATTTAAAATTATGATTCAGAATCATTCTCGTTTTATGTATATTTTTTATGAGAAAAAATATTATAACGATGATTCAAATTATATTACGATCTTTATCTCTATCCACGGAGATACCTATCTATATGGATAGAAATCTATCTATGAATCGATCTAGACTATCCTCTATCCGGATAGATATGTCCCTATGAGCGACTGCGCCGATCTTTATATGTTTTGGCCACGTCCGTTTCCGCTCCGAAGAAGAAGGTTTAGCCCGCTTCCATAGAACAATATCGTGGCAACATAGACCTAAGTGGTCATATTGGATCCTTGGGAACCATCACAAGTACGGCCGGCCTATATTTAAACGAGAATGCCGTGTCGTCCAGCGGAGCCTAGAAGAAGGTGACTCGCGCAGCGTCCTAATAAGCACAAATTAGGCACAGTAATAAGTAAGAAAAATAACTGAGATTTTATTTTTGTAAAAATGTGTTTGGAAGTTCTGGATGATGGTGGCATAGTAGGAAGGATGTTCTACTTAGAGCCTTCATTTCTATTCACTCATTAGTGTGTAAACAAAAATTATGTATGATGACATTGTTGCTATTATTCTCTAAAGTATGTATTTTCACATTGTCGTCTCTTATCATCTACTTTTGGTTTCATAGACTCCCCATAAAACCATAAGTCAGGAGGGCGAAGAAACAATTGATTCACATTTTTCTTCATGAAAAAAAAAGGCGTGTCGAAATAGTGTGATTGGTAAGTGCTCAACGCACAAATTGTTATTAATAAGGTCTGCAATACTTTTCAACAAAACACCAATAATGTTTATGTGCATATCTTTCACGTGAATTTGTACACCTGCATAGTGTCCATTGAAGGCAGCGAGAACATGTTTGCGAAAAGATAAACATTCTTTTGAGTCTCTCTCGCAAGGCCAAGTCCAATGTACTAGCCAAACAGGTGTCAATATCAAAATAACTCAAGTATTACTCTAGGCAGACACAACTATTGCTTGACAGGTACAAAAGAGAACAAAATCCCAGAACAGAAAAGTTAATACTAAAATAAGATAAAATCCTGTTATTTTATCGATTTAAATTTAAAATTTTAATTTGATTACAGTAAATTTTTTTAAAAATAATTATATTTAATTTTTTTATTTATTTTATCAATTTAAATTTAAAATTTGAGTTTTATTACAATAAAAAGTTTTACAGTTACATTTAACTTTTTTGTTACAGTAAAATATGTGTGAATTAAAAACTTAAATCAACGAACTAAATGAGTTTTAAGAGATTCTTTACTGTGAAACTTCAAATAGGTGCGTTGTCGGTGGAGCACTATTTTTTAACGGAATAATTTATGCATGTTCGTATTAAAAATTCATAACGTGTCACATAAAATTACTTTTACTATAAATCTAACTTGAAAAAATAATTTAACGGTAAAAAAGAAAAAAAGTATTACACGGGAGCACTTATTAGGATTCCACCGGAAAGAATCCCATGAAATAAAGAGATTCCCGTACGAATGGGAAAAATGAAAATCGAACAGGAAAAATGGTTGTTTATATTTACTTGTTGGTGCATTGAACATGGAAGTGGTTGGAATTCCTAGTCATTGATTCATATGTAAAGAGCCAAAGAATGGCAAACGAGGTTAAAGAGACGTTTGATTGATATATTAAAATTATGAGATTAGAATTATTTTTAATTTATGTATATTTTTTATAAAAAAAATATTATAATAAATTATGAATCATAATTTAAATTATGATATAAATTCTTTTACTAAACGTTCTCTAAGAGTCACGTCACTTGTATAGTTGTATTGTTTGCATTTGTTACTGGACTCTCACATAAATGTACTGAGCGGGACAAAAAAAGGGTGAACAAGGAAAATGGATTAGAAAGGACAATAGCAGTGTGAGACTGTCGAGGATGAGGACAAAGTATACAATTACCAAGGGCAACAGCCATGCCTATCCAGATTAATGGGGCCTTCCACTGTTGTTTTAAACTAGCGAGGATGTAAATGGGTGAGGGATGTAAAGCTTCCTCCTTATCCTCACTCTCTCCTCCTTATTTTGCCTTCCTTATCCGTCTAATTTGAAGAGGGATCGAAGAATCTCCGTCGGAGACTATTAAAGATCCCGTTTATTTTATCGATTCAAGTTTAGAATTTGAGTTTTATTACAGTAAAAAATAATTACATTTAATTTGTTTATTATAGTAAAAATCTGTTATATAAAATCATATCTAACTCGAATTAGAAAATTAAAGGGCCATTTGTACCTTGTAGATTTACTTATTAAAAATTAAATTAAATTCTTGCAATATTAAGCAAATTTCAAACATTGAAAAAAAAAATCAAAATACTTAAAATCCTGAGAACATTTATTCCTTTCTTTTTTTTTGTTTTGTTTTGATTCTTTTTCAGTATGGTCCTCCGCCAACTTCGTAGGTAAAACCTGGTGTATGCATATATATATATGCATGTCTAATTCGCCAGGTCCCCCACCTCCCATATAATTTTGTGAGTAATAATCTCTCTGGATGAAGGATCAAAATAAAAGATGATTAAAATTTGTCAAAAAAAATCTCAGATACTAGATCTTGTCTTGCTTTAATATTCGACTTTGATTATTTTTCTCAAACTCTTAACATGTTGTCAATTACAAGCCACCCTCCCCCCTAGTAGGCTAGCAGCACCTTCCACCTCATCAACCACGCCCAACGGCCAGAATCACACGACCACCGTCCGCGACCGAGCAATCAATGAATTTCCCTCTTGCAACCCATCACTCGGTAAACTGAACTTCATGGCATCATCCTTGTCCGAATATAAACAGGAATTGCCATATGGCAAGACAACTTAGAGAAACTAACAGATAATCGTGAGATTTTTTTGTGTGTGATACCCTTTTCTTTTCACTCACACGCCAATGTTCTTACCTCTAGCAATGATATTGAACAATTTTTTCTCGACTGTTGGTCCCTATAATTATTATTTTCTTCCACATCTTCGCATCTCTTCGCATCTCTCTCTCAATTTCTCTCAATCTCTCTCAATCTCTCAAATCTCTATCACAATTTTTTTAAAAACTATTACATTATCTTAAAGCTCTCTCTCTCAAATCGCTATTATTTTTTTTTTATAATGAATCCTTTTGATTATAGTGGTACTCCCGTTGATGCCTAACACAACGTGGAAGAAAGACAATTTCTCACTAATAAATTTGTTACGCAGGAATCTACTAATCCGAACCCTGGTGGACGTACTGGAGGTCTTATGCCTCCACCAAGACATTTAGAAAAAAAAAAATGATATTGCTCTTACCTAATCAGCGAATTACAAAATAAATAAATAAGTAAACAAATCCTAATAGGCATTCACGAAAGTGGTGACAACTTAATAGTGATAGAATATAGTAAAGAGAAATAAGCTCAATTCTGGAGAATATTAATTTATAGTGTCTCATGTCACAAATTGTGACGACTTTGTATATTCACGTGTAAGCATATAGCTGTCTACAATTAAACCACAATACTACATTCCATCAATCATCAGTGAGAATAAGAATCAGGAAACTCCACTTTCCTAACACTTGCACAACCTTTTCACAAATAAATAAATAAAATAGAATCCATAACACAAACTTGTTAAGTGTAATTTCCACTTTGGTTTTAATATTATATCCTGCAAACCTAATTATGAGTAACATTTCGTATGATTCTTCATTCTCTGGGTTATAATTTCTATATGCATATCGAGACCAATATTAGGTAGAGTTTAAAGAATCCAAAGGAAATGCTAATAAAGTTTAGTAGCTCTGAATATATAAATTGGAATATCTTTTAAACAACTAAAAAATAGAATAGTTGAGAGAAAACCATCTCATATACAGAAACAGAACTATATGCAACAGGTATTTCAATAAACAAGATCCAACTTCAAGATTAAATAGTGTGAAGTTCCTGAAGCTAAAGAAGTAAACAAACTGCACAAGGGATTTTAAAACAAGACTTCGCCTTAGACTCTCTTAATCTTACATAGGATAGTTCTAATGCATGCATAACACAGCAAAACCACCAACTTTTATTTTTTAGCAATACTAAAGGCCGCCTTTTCGTTCAGCTATCCGACACTCAACGCACAGAAAACCCTTTTTCAAACAGAAACTTGGTCTACTCTATACATGTAGATAGATATCAAATGATAACTTATAAGGTTTATGATAGGATCTTGGTTGAGTACCACATTACTAAAGTATGAACTTAGCATGTGGGTTTATAACCACCAGGGTTTATAACCACCAGGGCGCCTTCTCCCTACAAGCTAGCTTTTAGGAATGAGTTCTACCCGAGGGTATTACTTGCACTAAAATAAATAAACAAACTAAAGCCATGACATCTTACAACCCAGTTTAGGCCAGAGAGTTGCCTGATCTAAGCCTTCTCTTCCGCAGCCGCTCTGCAATATTAAAAGCAAGCTCCAGAGACTGGGAAGCGTTGAGTCTCGGGTCACAATGGGTGTGGTAGCGTGAACTTAGATCATTGTAAGTTATAGTTCTCGAGCCTCCAACACACTCTGTCACATTTTGCCCTGTCATCTCGAGATGAACGCCTCCTGGGTAGCTTCCTTCTTGATCGTGCACGTCAAAGAATGCTCTCAGCTCATTCTGTCAACAAAATAAAATAAATATTGTTGCAATACTATAGTAGGTATTATATAGCAAGCAATGTAGACTTTTGGATTCCTTAAAAAAAATTAAAAAAAATAAAAAATAAAAAATAAAACTACAAAGGTTACAGATGTTCAAGAAACAGAATCATGGGCAAGGAATGAAATACAACAATGAAAGTAAATATAGTTGGCTGATTCTTGTCCACTAATAAGCAGCAGCCAATTTGACTCATTACTTTTGCCACCGAAACTTATCACTAGCTTGTGTACTTGTGAATGCAACAAAGCTTAAGAGTAAGACAGATCAAGGATGCCAAAGAATCATTGTACTAATCTTGCTTTACTTCATTAACATTGTTTAATTATAGTAACGTGCATAGTTTGAGTCGGACACTTGTTGAGGAAATTAACACTCACACCAATAAGATCAAGCTACCAATTAGCTCAAAAGAGTATTCCAATATCAAAGGAATCGAGGTTTAAAATCCTAGTAAACTATATGACTAAATGTAATTTCACCTGTACTCAAAATATGGCTATGTTTTACACACTAACATTTCCTGGAATGTCAACAGTCGATTGATCATTGTGAGATTACAATTGCTTAAGGCTTTAAAACAACACCACACAGAAAACAAGGTAAACGAAAAAGCCCCAGCAACTTGCATTTTTCTTTCAAGTAACAATTTCTTTGGAATGTTTTTTTGTCATTCAAATAAAACGATCAATTTTAATGTTTAGAAAGGAATTATGAGGAACCTGATTTTGAGCACTCGAGGGAAGAAAGAAAACATTTGTAGGATCCTCATGTTTAAAATGGTTGAATCGGGCAACAAATTTATTAAGAAAATAAAGTATTAGAATTATGACATAAGTCATACCCTGATTGCATCAAAAGAACGGGTTTTGAGTCCACAAGGAGCTTTGATAGTGTTCCCGTGCATGGGATCGCTAACCCAAGTAACAATCTGACCTGCTCCACGGACTGCCCTGATAAGATGAGGAAGCTTCACCCTTAGATTTTCAGCTCCCATTCTTACAATTACTGTAATTCTTCCTGGTTTGTTCTTGGGGTTAAGAATCTCTATGAGCTTAACAAGTTCATTCGGGTCCATCTTATCACTCGCCTGCATCACATTCATCTGTCTATCAGAAATAAAAGCTAATATATATACCACACGAGAATTTCAAACCAAGAATATCCATAAGCCAAAAAAAAAAAAAAAAGGAAGAAGAAGAAAGAACCAACGCAACAGAAAGTAAGGAATAAGTAGTAGCAGAAGTATCTTAGATTAGAACATAACAAGATGAAAAAGCAATTAACTTGATAAAGGGAAACCATCATGAAAAAATATTCTTGTTTCTTGAGAATAAATTAAAAACTTTAAAATAAAAAATAGCTAATTCAACCGTAGATGAAAACACAACATTCAAGAGATACCTTGATACCAAGGGGATTAGCAACTCCTCTCAAAAACTCAACGTGGGAACCATCAAGTTGACGGGTGCGTTCCCCAACCCAAACCATGTGAGCAGAACAGTCATAGTAAAGCCCAGAAGTAGAATCCTCTCTAGTGAGTGCTTGCTCGTAAGGCAAAAGCAGGCACTCATGAGATGTCCAGAACTCTGTTGTGGTCATAATTGGGTGGTCGAGAGTGAGTCCAGCAGCAGCCATAAACCCAAGGGCTTCGTCAACCCGGTGAGCCAGTTCGCGGTACCTGTTGAAGCACACCAAAAGCATCCATTCTCTAAGAAACTAATAATCAAAATTTAACCTGTTAACATCTACAGACGGCTCAAGCCATTCGAAGAGATAAATTTAAACATATTTCCCACGTCTGACAAAAACTCATTACTTAATCATGCAAAAAAAATAAAGGACAGATCAATAGAGTAAGAATAATGACAATAAAATTATTCGAGGCAATAAGAAGACATAAATGCCAAGGTACAGTCAAATCCAAATTAAACAGTTCTAAAACAAATGATAAACAAGCAAAATTGCCAGTTTGCTTGATCAGGGAAGTGTTATAAGCACGTGAATAAACTTCCCCATGTGAGCCAATGCATTGATATTATAGTTTAATCCCAATCCTCATAAACAAAGTCATCAACTCTACTAATGTTTGTTGCCAGGTATGGATCATAGGTATTGTGGAAAATAGGTGCTAGAGATGGGATAAACACTTTAGGAATTGGATAAAACACTTAATCCCTAGAATTTAGGGATTCGGATGACAGCAAGTTAGGATATTAGGATATCTCTTTTAGGAAGTCTCTATCTCCTCTTATCTCTTCTCCATTATCCGTGTATATATAGCCCATTAGAGGCCCTTGTAAATGTGATTAATTCAATATAATCATTTATTCTTTACCACATGGTATCAGAGCCATAGGGCTTGTTTTCCCTGGGATTAGAAACTTTTTTCCTTCTTCGGCAATCATAGCCGAATTCTCCCTGACTTGCCTTCATTGCAGTTTTTTTTAACCGATTATCTATCCAATTTTTTCTTTTGCGTTCCTTCGCTAGGGTTTTCTCTCTTTCTCTGTGACTTCATATCCAGATTAAGAGATGTCAGACATAACCTCTTCAACTTCAGTGGTTCAATCAGCCCAACAACGTGAGGAAGAACAAAGTTAGTGCTCCATGGGAGAATTACAGAATATCCAGACTACTTATAGACTTAACGGCAGAAACTACCTAAAGTGGTCCCAATTAGTTCGGACTTGTCTGAAAGGCAAAGAAAAATTGAGTCATCTATTAGGAACTGGACCGAAAGAGGGTGAAACTGGTTTTGAAGCATGGGACGAAGAGGATTCCATGATCATGTCTTGGTTGTGGAATTCTATGACACCCGAAATCAGTGACACATGCATGTTTCTACCAACCGCAAAGGCAATCTAGGATGCACTGAATCAAACCTATTCTAAAGTCCATGATGCAACACTAATATACGAAATCAAGACCAAGACAGCAGCCACAAAACAGGGAAGTAAAAGTGTAAAACTGTGACCGAGTATGCTAACTTTCTGCAAAATCAGTGGCAAGAGTTGGATTATTATCGAGTAATTGACTTGAAGTGCAGTAGCTGTGCAGGGGCAATAAAAACCTTCATAAAAAGAGATCGAGTTTATGATTTTCTTGCAGGTCTAAACCCTAAATTCGACCAAATGAGGATTCAAATCCTAGGTAAGATGGAAGTACCGTCTCTTAATGAGACAATATCATTGATACAGGCTGAAGAGAGTCGAAGAGTGATGCTTGGACCATAAACGGCTGATGGATCTACACTCGCAACTTCTAGTAACAAGCAACAGGGTCTTACTTTGGAGCAACCACCAAAAGCTGAGCATGGAAAGGCAGAGGTGTCAAAGGGAGCAAATCGAGATGACATGTGGTGTACCTACTGTAAAAAGCCGAGACACACAAGAGAACACTGCTGGAAATTACATGGCAAGCCGTCGACAACCAACCGTGAGTGGGGAAATAAAGGAGGACAACAACAACGACAACAAGGCCAGGCTTATAAGGCCTTACAAGTCAGAATCAGGGTCCAGCACAAGAACATGGCGGGTTTAACAGTGAGGAAATAGAAAAATTGAGAAACCTGCTAGGAACACTTGAGAAACCGTCCCCCAACAACTGTTCGTTAGCTCTCTCAGGTAAGTCTCCATTTTCTTGTGGACTGAATGTTTCTGATAAAGTATTTGTGAATGCATGGATTTTAGACTCGGGAGCCACATATCATATGACACATACCTCAAATCAGTTTAACACTTACACCCCATGCCCAAGTAATAAAGAGATACTGTTGCCAATGGAACCACAACCACAGTAGCCGGAATAGGAGATATTCATATCACACCTAGTCTTATCCTTAAAAATGTTCTACATGTCCCTAAACTTTCCACCAACCTTGTGTCTATTCAAAAGCTTACAAAAGACTTACACTGCTATGTTATGTTCTATCCTTCTTATTGTGAATTTTAAGATCAGGATTCGGGGAAGAAGATTGGATGTGCTGAAGACAAGGATGGACTTTATTTCCTTGAGATGTCAAACTTTCCAAGTATGATCAAGAGAAATTCACCCTCCTCGTTTCTTTCTTCTACAAAAAAGGATGTCATTTAGTTGCACCACTTCTGCCTTGGTCACCCTTCCTTTACAACCTTAAAAATCATGTTTCCTTCTTTGTTTAAGGGATTAGATATAGGACATTTCATTGTGATATTTGTGAGTATGCAAAACACTCGTGTGTCTTTTCCTATTAGCAATAAAAGATGTTCTTTTCCATTCCATTTAATCCACAGTGATATATGGGGACTCTCTACTCTTCTAAATATTTCTGGTTCACGATGGTTTGTATCCTTTATCGATGATTGCACTAGAGTCACCTGGCTTTTCTTGCTAAAAAACAAATCTGATGTGAGTAACATCTTTCCTAACTTTCATACGATGATCCAAAACCAATTTGGTACAAAAAAAAAAGGTTTAGGCCTGACAATGCAAATACTACTTTAATCAAGTTTTATCTCCTTTTTTCCAAAAAGAGGGAATTATTCATGAATCATCTTGCATCAAAACCCCACAACAAAATGGGGTTGTTGAATGAAAAAATGGTCATCTCCTAAACACTACCTGAGCATTCTTATTTCATCAAAATGTACCGGAACACTATTGGGGGGAGGCGGTTCTTACTGCTACCTATATTATAAACCGACTTCCTTCAAGGGTTTTAGGGTCAAAAAGTTCAATGGAAGTTCTCTCTAAGTTCCATCCTGACATTAGTGCAACAAACAACCTTACACCTAGAATCTTTGGGTGCACTTCCTTTGTCCATATCCATAGCAACAATTGGGCAAGTTAGATCCTAGGGCAGTCAAATGTGTCTTTATAGGATACTCCTCCACACAAAAAGGTTACAAATGCTTTCATCCACCCACCAGAAAACTCTGTGTCTCGGCTGATCACATTTGCAGAAGAAAAACCATATTTCACTACACCTTATCTTCAGGGGGAGTCCTATATTATGGAAGATAAGAATAAGGATCCATTCCTACTTGACCTATCAACAAATTCACCATCTCCATCTCATTCCCATCCTCAAATCCCAACATCACCTATCTTAAACACATAATCGGTACCTCCTGATCCTGTTGTGTCACCAGTACCACCTGAAAATAGGACTCTTGATCATATACGATTTGGAAAAGGGAAGACATACTCAAGGCGACAAGGACCAGCTCTCGAATCAACACAAGTTCAAATCTTCAACCTGGCATCTAAGAATGAGGTAACAATATCTGAACCTACTTCACCCCTACTTGTAGAAAACAAACACCCATCTCTGGAATCTCAAACCTTTGACCAAAATCTGCCCATAGCCGTGAGAAAAGGAACTTGAGAGTGTACCAAAAGGCCACTATACCCTATATCTCATTTTGTATCCTTCAAGAAGTTCTCACCATCCCATAAGAACTTCCTCACGAGTTTAAATGAAATTGCTATTCCAAACACTTTGTCCGAGGCACTATCTAAGGAAGAATGGAGAAAAGCTATGAGTCGAGATGGATGCATTGGAAAAAAATGGGACATGCGAGTTAGTTGATCTTCCAAAAGGGAAGAAAGCAGTGGGGTGTAAATGAGTTTTCTCCTTGAAGTTCAAAGCGGATGGATCATTAGAGCGCTACAAAGCAAGGTTAGTTGTCAAGGGGTACACCCAAACACATGGGGTTGACTATCAAGAGACCTTCGCGCCAGTTGCAAAGATGAACACCATCAGGATCTTACTATAACTAGTTGCCAATTTTAATTGGAACTTACAACAATACGATGTGAAGAATGCCTTCCTTCATGGGGACTTAGAAGAGGAAATCTGTTAAAAGTATAAAATTATTGTTGGCCCACCTTCTAATAGCTTAAGCTTTTGGGATGGATTGGTAAACTAATATGGTATCAGAGCGGGAGGTCCTGAGTTCAAATCATCGTAATTGCACTCTTTATCCTCATTTATCATTATGTATTGGGTCTTTAATATATCTTAGGCTTAAATATTCACGTGTTGGGCTTTCCAATTAATTTACCCACACGATTGCCCATTGTCCAGCCCACACGTGAGGGGGAGTGTTAAAGTATAAAACTATTGTTGGCCCACCTCCTAATAGCTTAAGCTTTATGAATGGATTGGTAAACTAATAAAATCTATATGAGCATCCCGCCCAGGTTTAAAGGAGTTGAAAGGGACAAGGTATGCAAGTTAAGGAAAGCTTTGTATGGATTGAAACAGTCACCCCATGCCTGGTTTGGAAGGTTTACCAAGGTAATGTTAGCAATTGGATACAAGCAAAGTCAAGGAGACCACACTCTCTTCATCAAGCACTCAGAGTCAGGGAGAGTTACAGCCTTAATAGTCTCTATGTAGACGACATTATTGTAACCGGGAATGATGAGAAGGAGCAGCAAGTCCTAAAACAATGTTTAATCAAAGAATTTGAGATTAAAGATTTGGGGAGGTTGAAATACTTCCTTGGGATTGAGGTCGCACATTCCAGACAAGGCATATTCATCTCGCAACAAAAGTATGTCACCAATCTTCTCAGAGAAACCGGAATGCTCGCAAGCAAGCCGGTCGCAACACCTATAGAGGCAAATCATAAGCTCGAAGAAGCTATTGAAGATCGAGCAGTAGACAGAGAAATGTATCAAAGGTTAGTTGGGAAGCTCATCTACCTTGCTCACACTCGGCCAGATATAGCATATTCAGTGAGCGTCATCAGCCAATTCATGCATAATCCCAAGGAGATTCACCTTCAAGCTGCCTACCGAGTGCTCCATTATCTGAAAGCTAATCCCGGGATGGGGATCATGTTCAAAAGAGCCACTGAGCTCGTTCTTGAAGCGTATACAGACGCAGATTACGTAGGTTCTCCCATGGAACGAAGGTCTATTTCAGGTTATTGCACATTCCTTGGAGGCAACTTGGTGACATGGAGAAGTAAAAAGCAAAATGTTGTAGCCCGATCAAGTGCAGAGGCAGAGTTTAAAGCAATGGCACAGGGTGTCTGTGAGTTGTTGTGGCTGAAAATTATATTGGAAGACTTGAAGATTAAATGGCGTGGACCAATGAGACTACTGTGATAATAAATCAGCAATCAGTATTGCACATAATCCGGTGCAACATGACCGAACTAAACATGTTGAGATAGACAAGCACTTCAAGGAAAAACTAGAAAGCAGGTTGATCTGCACACCATACGTCTCCACAAAGAGCCAACTAGCAGACGTCTTTATAAAAGGACTCAATAGTGCTACCTTCAAAGAAATTATTACCAAGCTGGGAATGAGGGACACCTATTCACTGGCTTGAGAGAGAGTGTGGAAAATAGGTGCTAGAGATGGGATAAACACTTTAGGAATTGGATAAAACACTTAATGCCTAGAATTTAGGGATTCGGATGACAGCAAGTTAGGATATTAGGATATCTCTTCTAGGAAGTCTCTATCTCCTCTTATCTCTTCTCCATTATCCGTGTATATATAGCCCATTAGAGGCCCTTGTAAATGCAATTAATTCAATATAATCATTTATTCTTTTCCACAAGTATCTTGAGAGAAATCGCTGACTGCTCAACTGGAAAACTCAATCCAATATAATGTTTAAAGTATTGTGACTCTTACAAGAGGCAATACTTTTTTTGATATCCAGAAATCCCCTGAGCCCACTTTGTGAGCCCAAGTTAGAAACTGGAGCCCTCCGCCATTATAGGAGGCAATACTAAATCATTTGTTTGACAAAGTAGAAAAATGTAATAATCATATGGGGGAGGGATAAGGGTGATGAAGATGTTGGATCATTTGATATAGAGATGAAATGGAGGCATTGGAAAATTGAAAGAGCTTACCTTGGTATCCAACAAATTCCTCTCTCCAATTCTGGAAGACTGAATACTAGATTAAAAGAACCGTAGTATTTGCATTTTTTGATTATTAAAACTTTAGTATAAGGATAAAATACATTTCACCCTCTAATTTGTGGCTCCTTACACTATATGAAACTGTTTCTTTAGTCCAACTAATAAAAATAAATGATATGGTAAATATGGAGAAAATGATCAAAGACTCCCAAGAATAATTTGAATAGAACTTGCTTTGCGCATCATGCAAGGTAATCAAGTATTAAAAGGGGGGAAAATTTTTTATACATGAATATTGGGGACTAATTTAACAATAAGCAATAGCACACGGACAAAATAGAGCAAAAATTTGTAGGATAACATATTACCCTCATTAAATTTACAAGTTTAACTTTGTAACTAGTATAAATCATGCATATCTGCAGTATAATAGTAAACTGGGCTTTTGTGCATTTTCTTTGTCCTCCCTTTTTTCGCACCAACCACATGGACAAAAGAAAAGTCCTCCCCGCTCTCTCTCTCTCTCTCCCAACTGGTCCTGCTAAATATACCTAAAGAAACAAGCGAAAATGTTCAACTAAGATGAAAAGACTAATAAATATTACCTATCCCCTTGCTCACTATGGTCTGTGAAATCTAGATTCCAATGAGTGACTCTCTGCATGGCTGCATAACCTCCAGTGGCAAAAGCCCTCAGGAGGTTCAATGTTGCAGCAGATTGGGTGTAGGCTCTAATCATTCGATGGGGATCTGGAACTCTCGATTTTTCATCAAATGCGTCACCATTCACATTGTCACCTCTATAACTTGGAAGCTTCACTCCATCCTTTTCCTCGAATGGATCTGATCGTGGCTTCGCAAACTGACCGGCCATTCTTCCCACCTAAAAATCACATCCAAATATGCACTTCAGACAATAGAATAGTTAAAACATAAGAGAAAAGAAAAAAGAAGGAAAGGAAACGAGAATTATAACACATAACAATCATTCCAGGCCAAGGTTTGCCATTTCATTGACAAGGAGATCAAAATTTTCACATTCAAATCCGCCACATTATCTCCAAATCTTATATCAGAATTACCACCAACAATAACAATAACAAAAGGAATAACATTGACAAACAAGAACTTAATTACTAGAAAATAAATAATGTCCCGGTTCCCCGATACAACATTGAATCTGATATACTTTTTAGAAAAAGGATTACATTCAGGCTATTCCTGTAGTAAAAGCCAATAAAAAAAGAAGCAGTTTTACTCAAAGAAAAGCTGCCAAGTAGGAGAAGCAGCCAAGGAAGGAACCCAAGCTAACGCAACTCTCCGCAAACTAGCTGCAGTCGAAGGTCTCTTGACCATTGGGACCATTAGTCTCGCTTCGTTCTCAAGCCTGGAAGATTCAGTTTCTAGAGTTCGCATAGGATCCCCGGATTATAGTTTTTTTTTTTAAAACCGGCTTTTTTCTGGATCGAATGATAGATTTATTTTATGTTCTAATATTTCGAGATTCCCCCTTGTTTTATTTGTTGATCGAGTTCAGTGGTCGAGGTCTTTAAGTCATGCGCATGGTCTAGGCCGGCAACAATTGTGACAATAAGGCTGCCATGTGAGATAGTACAGCTAGTCTTACAATAGGTAATCCAGACTAGTGTGTCTGATGTATGTGAGAGGGATCTTGACTGATGGAATATTTCCAGTCAGTATGTGGAGTCCAGATGAGATCTGGCTGATCCCGTGTCAAAAGTCCTTGGCAAGCACTTAGTGTCCAGAAATCGAGAGGGAAAAGCCCATAGTTAGTTGCGGATATGGTAGCGATACAATCTTCTGGATCTATGGTTGCTGATATGATTACTGCATTAACGCATACGATTGTCAAGCATCGCAAAATGGAACCTCTAAATGTAGATGTTTGGAAGATGAGAATGCAGTTGCTTCTCAAAGAACAGGATCTCTTTTTTTTTTCATTCTTGAGAAAAGAGAAGCCCGCAGATCTGGCGCTAATGGCTTCTTCAATCAAGTTGATGTTGTTGTAGCCAAACAACAAAAGAAAGCATATGAACAGCATCCATAGTTGTAGACAGTAAAAAAGTTCTTCGAAGCTGTGCTAATGGTGGTCAAGGATAAGGTACTAGTTTCAGTGGGAGACATTGAGTCCGCATGAGAAATCGGGGAGACTCCAAAGAGAATTTATGAGTCAGTGACAATGGTAAACATTAAGTTTCTTCGGCAACGGTTTTTTCCAAGCAAGATGCAAGAGGGGACGAGCGTGTCTCAGCACTTAGACAAGATGGAGAAGATTATCAAAGAATTTGTAGCAGTGAGAGTCAAAATGACTGATCGTGATCAGTGACCGGAAAGTCTGCTGAAGTCGTTTGAGTCTTTGACAACCACTCTCTCCCGTGAAACTCCTCCTTTAACTATGATTGATCTGACCATTTTCTTTAGGCAGAAGCTGAAAAGAGATTTGAACAGCAGCCCCAACTAAGGGCAAGCACCTACTCCTAACAAAATGAAAAGCAGCGAGCTCCGCTTGAAGAAACGAGCCGCGCTACTAGCGCGCATCCGTTTTTCAGCTGGCGTCAAATCAAAGCTTGCTTGACTTGACTAATAGGGGCCCCTAACCTAGGTTGGGAAAAGCCCTATATATCAGTAAAGCCTCAACTTATTTCAAAAGAAAGCGCTAACGAGCAAGAAAACGCTCTGTTGCCTTTCTTTCGGCTTATGGTTATATACCCTTGCTAGCTTATAAGAAGTTGACATCTTCTTATCCGATCGGAGTTTACGATGCTTTATTCTACTCGAATTTTCAGTGAGTCATTTTTCCACCAGCTCTTCTAACAAGAGAATAAGCTACCCCAACTCTAATTCTAACTTTTTAATACTAATCTACGTGTTATTCTTTTATAAGTGGATGTTTGAAAAACTGTCACATATATTGATATCAAAAGATTACATTTGTGAGTTCAAAGACAACAGCTCACTGCTACGCGAATTGGTATTAAAAAGTTAAGATTATTTGGCATTGCTCAATTTAAATACCTAACCTTATCTGACCAAGGTTTTAAAAGGCAGAATCGGACCTCAAGGCGTTTTGCCTTTATGAGGCGAGGCATAAGCCTCAAGGCGCTTTGAGGCGTAAACCTCAAAAAATGCCTATAAAAAAATTGAAAAAAATAATAATAATAACAAAAACTAAATCCATACTTAATAACCATTAAAAATAAGAAATTTAACCAAACATCCACATAAAGAAAAGTCTATTTCACTACTAGAAGCGTAAAAAAGACTAAATAATTATCAAATCCTAATATCATAAGGTTCATAATGCACGTGAAGGAGAGGTGAGGTGCAAAGAAGAAGAAAAAGAAGAAGAAGAAGAGATCGGCTATGCCGGCTGGTCTGCTTCTTTTCTTAAGGTTTTTTCTTACTCATTTCGGGCTTGACTACTTTGGGCCTTTTAAAACTGTTGGACTTGCATCTTTTGGGTTTAAAAAACCCTCCAGAATCCCCATTCCAATGAGACGGACGCCTCAATAACAGCCTGAGGCGCCGCTCAAAGGCGTGTGCCTCAAGTGGCTGAGGCGCACGCCTCAACTCCTACCCTGTAAGGCATAGGAGTTGAGATGCTTTTCGAGCGCCTCGCCACGAGGCGCGCCTCAAGCGCTTTTTAAAACATTGTATTTGAGATTATATGCCATGCAAAAATTTATCCAAACGATACGTTTTCTAAAATGACTACCCTAAAAAATGATATTAACAAAATAACCATTTTCAATTTTAATGGAGGGAACCACTCGGTTGGGCAATCTGAAATAGACACACTGGGTCATTCATAAATCATTTCTCAAATTAAGAGCCTGTTTGTTTCATATATTCAAACTCAAATCATTAATTATGCTACAATGTTATTCTCTCACAAAAAATTTAAATTTCAAATGTCAGAATCAATAATTATTATTTGAGTATACTTTCCAAATAGATCTTAAAATTTTTAAAAGGTTATTTTACAAAAAAAAAAACTTTCTACCAAAGTCAATTTTAAAACAGAGCTCTTCTGCAAACAATCAAGCCCCAATAATATATGCATCACCACTAAATTTTAACCGATCACACTTTCATATCTCAACCTTGAAAATCACACACTGCCATAATAGTATCACATAACACCACCTCCAATGCAAATACTATCGTTAATTGTATATTTAACATTAAAAAGTATGATATGGTATTTTATTTTTATTTTTGTTACGATACATGATGCTATTTGAAATGCTAAATTTATTTTTTCTTATAATTATTAAGCTTGAAAATTGAAAAAGTAAACTTTTATTTTTAAAATAATTAAAAAATGTAAAAGTTGCATTAATTACATGAAAAAAATAAAAATTTCAACCAACAATAATTAAATGTTAAATTTCTCATATGTGTGAAAAATTTGTCACAAAATATAGCATATAAAAAATTGACACAATAAATAATATTATATTAAAGAGTACATTTTACACTCAAAAATTAAATTTATAATTGACACATGCTCTAAGTTCTAATATGTTAAACTCAAACAAAAACCCAGAAAACAAAAAACAAAAATCGAATTGAATTGAATACCTTAACAACAGGCATTTGGCCACCAAACATGAGAACAACGCCCATCTGGAGAAGAACCCGGAAAGTGTCCCTAATATTGTTGCCATGGAACTCCTTGAAGCTCTCGGCGCAGTCGCCGCCCTGGAGCAGGAACGCCTCCCCGACGGCGGCCTGCGCGAGCCTCTCCTCGAGGCTTCGGGCCTCTCCGGCGAAGACGATCGGCGGGGAAGACTCCAGAGTCTTGACGACCGACTCCACCTCGGCGGCGTCCGGGTACTCCGGCAGCTGGAGGGCCCTCTTCTCTTTCCAGCCGTCGATTGTCCATCGGGGCGGGATCGTCGCTGATTTCGGTGACTTTGAGTGAACGGCGGAGATGGGTTTTCGGATGTTGGGAAGAGAAGAAGGGCGGTGGTGGAGGGGATTGGTTGAGGATGGGATTGGCTTTGTGGGGTTGAGGAGGGATTTTGAGGAGATTGGACTTGATGATGCCAAAGCCATAATCAGACCAGACCAGTTTGGTTGAGGGAAATAATGGAACAAGTTTGACGGATTCTGTATGACTGCTGATTACTTGATATTGGGTTGTGTCGGTCAGAACAGTGCCGGAATAGTAATAAGAATGATAATGGAATGAAATTCACTCCTAATGCTGTTTTTTTTTAATGACGGATTTACTCATGGTTTATCAATTATCAATAATAGACAGGTCAATTATTAAATTTTATCTATTATTCATGGATTGCTATTAGTCTATTAGTGAAAACTACTAAATTAATCAATAATAAGTTACAAATTAATTAATTACTGATTAACTATTTTTTAAAAAAACTTATTTTCTTAATTTAATAAAACTCGAATGTTTTAGGGGTTGTTTTTTTACATTTTTGAGTTAGAGTGATTTGAGTAATGATTTTGAGTTGAGTTTGAGTTATAACTTGAGTTGAAGTTGTAACTTGAGTTTGTGTTTAGATGTGCACGTTTGAGTTATGATTTGAATTAAAAATCTTTTTGAGTTTGTGTTTAGGTAGGTCAAAACTTAAATTTGTATTTAGATAGTATTTTAATAAAAACTCAATAGTGATGAAAAATTTTAATAAGGTATATGAGTGGGGTTTTATTCGTCTTTCGTTGTGAATGCATAGAAAAAAAATCATCTCAATCAGAATTAAAACGAAAAAGTTATGACATTTTTAAGAATAGAAAAATACTGTTCATTAACTTGAGTTCGATTTATAAACTCGAGTTGAAGGAAAAACTTGAACTCGAGTTTAGCCTTAAACTCGAGTTCAAATTCAAATTTTACAAAAGAACTTGAACTTAAATAAAGTTGTAACTCGAGTTCAAATTTTTTTTGAGTTTCGTTACAAAAGAACAACCCTTTAATTAAAAAATGGATCATTTACTTTAAAACCCAACGAAAAAAGAGAGATACACTAAAAAAAAATAAAAGTTAAAACAAAGGAGATAAAAAAATTATATTTATCTCAAGAAAAATATATAAAAATGTTTAGAAACACTGCTAATGCTATATACCATCACTAATAAAAAATGTCACTTATAAATCCCATACTATATGACTTACTTTTTATTAATAAATAGTGCTAAACACCACTGATGTCTTATAGTATCATTCTCCTACATACCCATTTAACTACCCATTTAACGGAGTTATTTTGGGCTCGTTTAATTCGTTGATTTGAATTTTTAATTCGAGTTGAGATGTGACTTTATGTGAGAGTTTTTTACTGTAATAATAAAATTACATGTGACTATTTATGAGAATTTTTTACTATAATAAAACTCGAATTCTTAACTCAAATTGTGAAACGGACGACCTTTATATTAGTAGCTAGGTTTCATCAACATATTTATTTATTATTTTTTTTAACACCCGCAGTAAGCATTAACCAAGGACACACGCAAGAGTATGCTAGTGTGGTGTGAGGGACCTAAGGACGAATTTGCACTTCTTTCACTATTATCGTCCTCTCTTTCCTTTTCTTGTTCTGTTCTGTGCCAATCTCATCTCATCATCTGAGGATGTGTTTGGTTGGAAAGAATGAAATGGAAAAAAAAGACTATTCCATTTAATTTCATCATTTAAAAGACGTTTTGTTGATAGATTTAGAATCATTTTTGATTTATGTGTGTTTTTTATGAGAGAAAATATTGTAACGAGTCACGAATTATGATTCGAACCATAACATGAATCATTAAACTAAACACACTTTTAGTTCCATTTTAACCTTCAGAAAGAGCTTTCCTGCGGAAAGCTCATTTACGATGATATTTTGTTCATGAATTCAAATCATGTGATTAGAATTATTTTTAATTTACACGTATTTTTATAAAAAAAATATTGTAACGAATTATGAACTCTGATTCAAATAGAAAACAAATTTAGGTACTAAACAGACTCAATTTAAGTGAATCGTAATTCACTCGAGGAGAAACGAATCTAAGTACTAAACGGACTCAATTTGAGTGAATCGTGATTCACTCGAGGGCCGAAGGAAAGGCCTTTCCATTCAGGCCTAATCAATTTTTTCCCAAAATCTCCCCGATTGAGAGAGAGAAAGCCCTAGCTCCCTTTACTTCCTCGACCAGTTCGTTCGTATCGAGCCCCACCGGATCTCCTCAGGCGGCCGCTCCTCTCCTTCGCGCTTCCTTTTCTTCCTTCCTTCAAATCTCTGCGTCTCCTTTTCGTTTCAATCTCCTCATCTGATTCGGATTTCTGACCGAAAGGAAGAGGTTCGCGCCGACGTAAGGTGTTGGATCTAGCTTCACCGGCGCCTCAATCTCCGACCGAGACGAAGAGGTTCTCGCCCGCGCAAGTACTTTTCTCGTCGGCGCAAGTACTTTTTTCGCAGGTATGTTCTCAAACCTCTGTTTAGCACAAGTTTCTTTTGATCAGTAAAGAGGAATCCTTTGAATTTTCTTGAGAAGTATATATGTGTTGCCTGAAATTCTTTGCAAGAATCAGTTTATTTGACAGATTTATGTATATATTTAGAGCAGAGCTATATATTGATTATGGGCAAAATGTGCACATTTTTTACATGAGAGGAAGAGAGAGAATCTTACACGAGAATAGGAAAGCAAGAAAGGCAGTGAATTTTTACCCAATTCATCCCAGAATGGCTTACCCCCATGGTTTTCCCTGCTTGGAACTTTCTTTTTGGTGAGGTTTGCACTTGGAACGATTGTGGTTGTATTAGGTGGTTATTGATGAGTATTCGAGAGTTGAAAGCAATGGGAATTCGATGAAATGCAGCAGTTATACATGTTGTGTGTTTGTAATTTTATGTCATGCACAAGTTGCCACAAGTCAATTTTTATCTCGACTCATGTCCTACTTTTAACCGAGATTGAGCTTTAAAGTTTCTCGACTCATGTAATTTTCATGTTCTCATTTTCAGCTTAGAAACTATCTCTGTTACACCTCTAAGTTTTTCAACCAGTCAAATCATTTGGGCTTCGTTTAGGTTGCTTTCCTTCCCCTCACTCAATTTCGCATTTCATGGCTACTGTGTGGATTGTGATGCTTATGTATATGATAATCTTTTTGGCCTGTTTTTGATTGTTTTTTTTGTATTTAATATAATACATATATGTTGTAGATTATGTTCTCCAACTGCATGTAAAAAGTTCTTAGAGACAAAAAAAAAAAAAAATAGAGACAACTGAATTTTTTGTTTCCTACGGCTCTATCAAATAGTTGGGGCTTTTTTGTATAATTTGCTTTATATAATTTATGTATAAGTTTTTCTTAATTGTTTTGGATTCTTGAGCTTTGAAGCACTACAAGATGACTTGGTGGCCGGCGGGTCATTGCTATTATTAAATTAAACTCATCAGCATGCGTTTAAATGCTATGCTGCAAACTAAAAAAAAAAGCTGCAAACCATCTGTTTATTTGGTTATTGATATATTTTTTCCATTTCCAACTTATGCATTGTCTGCTTTGCAGCATCACGATCATACGCTTGCCATATTCACCGCCCAAAAAAAAAGTTTAGGTTATTCCATTTGTATACTTTCTTAACTTTGGAAACGGTATCAACCTCCATTCAAGTGTGTCATACTTTTGGTTGTTTTGTTGTAGGATAATGGCTCGCTTAGGATTAGTCAAAAGTGAAACTTTGAGAAAGAGGAAGATAGTTGCTTTGCTTTTACATTGGTTGAATATTATGCATGTAGTGCAACAGTTCTTTCAATTGATGGAAATAGTGGTGATGGAGGATATAGAATCAAACTTTGTACAGAGACAACTTTATGTGCTTGACGTGTTTGTTCATAGGCAATATGTTCATCAACTAGCTTACGCAAGTGATGTCAAATGCAGAGATCAATTAAGGATGAATAGAAATGCCTTCACTACTTTGTGCACATTGCTAGAAACTAGGGGTGGGTTGAAAGCGTCTAAGTATTTGCAAGTAGATGAGCAAGTGGCTATGTTTTTACATACCATTGCTCACCATGAGAAAAATAGAGTTATAAAATCCCATTTTATGAGATCTGGACAAACGGTTAGTAAGTAATTTCACAATGTCTTGCATTCAATCATTCGACTTCATGGAGTGTTATTCGTTAGACCCGCGCCGGTTGCAGATAACTCAACTGATGAGAGGTGGAAATGGTTTCAGGCACGTACCTATTTCTGTGTTATGTTTAAAATGGGCAGCACCCATGGTGTAATTAGTAATTATATCTTTTATTTATTATAGAATTGCCTAGGTGCACTAGATGGAACCTATATTAGGGTGAGAGTGCCTATGACAGAGAGACTCAAATACCGTAATCAACATGGAGCTGTAGCAACAAACGTCTTAGGAGTATGCACACGAGATATGGAATTTATATATGTGTTGCCTGGATGGGAAGGATTTGCAGCTAATGGTAGAGTATTACGCGATGCCCTACGTAGGGTAAGTTTGTTTGTTACTAGTAAAGTAGTTTACTCGTTCTTTGTTACATCGTTCGTTGTTACATTTAAATCTTATTTATCAATTCTTTTAACAGGATGTTACTATCTTGTTGATGCTGGATACACCAATTGTAAAGGATTCCTTGCTCCATTTCATGGCCAACGGTACCATGTAAAGGAATGAAAAGATGGAACACAACCTAGGAATGCACAAGAGTATTTTAATATGAAACATTTACATGCTAGGAATGTGATTGAGAGATGTTTTGGTGTACTTGAGAGACGTTGAGCGATTCTTCGTAGTCTATCGTTCTTTCCAATTAAAACTCAAAATCGCATTATCTTGGCATGTTGTTTGTTACATAATTTTATGAGGCGCGAAATGCCTAATGACGTTTCAGATCCAATACCAGAAGATGAGTGTGAGAATGATGAAGAAGATAAAGAAGTAGAAGATAATGATGATTTGATAACGGCCGTTGAGGAGGAATACTATAGTACAAGATATGTTTAATGACCGGAGGAATCGTAGGAATGCATGACAATTGTCTATGTGTTTTTCCCTTGGAAGTTGTAATGGAACTTGTATTATTTGCTTGTATTAGGACAAATTTATGTTGTTTGCATGTTTTATCCGGCACATTCGATTAATATGCGTCGCTTTGAATTGCTTTTATCTATAGTGTTTGCAAGTTACTAATTATATATCATAGAGGATG